ATGACAGATTGCTTCGCACTTTTCCATGAAATCGCTTCTCTGGATAAAAGATACACATAACCAAATGTATATTTTCGTGTATCCATACAACCAGAAAAATCTGAATCTGTATATCCAATCACCTCAACGTGATCAACTTTCTTATAAGTAAGCATGTGATTCTTTGTTCCTTGTAAGTATCTTAAAACTTTCTTTGTAGTCTTCCAATGATCCAGTCCAAGATTACTCTGGTATCTACCCAGCATACCAACTGCAAAGCTAATATCTGGCCTCGTACATGTTTGAGCATACATCAAACTCCCAACAACAAATGCATAAGGGATATTTTCCATCTGTTTCCGTTCCAAGTCATTCTTTGGACATTGCATGAGATTAAATTTGTCTCCTTTCTGTATTGGAACGGGAGATGCTGAACATTTCTCCATTCTTAATCTCTCTACAATTTTATTAATATATGTTTTCTGAGACAAACCTAACAGTCCTTGTGATCTATCACGGAATATTTCTATTCCTATCACATAGTATGTCTCACTCATATCTTTCATTTCAAAGTTGTTAGAGAGAAACTTCTTAGTCTCACTCAATAGACCAAGATCATTAGTCGCAAGCAAGATATCATCAACATACAGAATCAGAAATATAAACTTGCTCCCACTGACCTTCAGATATATACACCGATCAACAGTGTTTTCCTTAAATCCAAAGGACATAATAGTATAATTGAACTTAAGATACCATTGTCGAGAAGCTTGTTTAAGTCCATATATTGATTTCTTAAGTTTACACACCATATATTCATTTCCTTCTTCAATAAACCCCATTGGTTGATTCATATAAACATCCCCCTCTAAATCTCCATTCAGAAAAACAGTTTTAACATCCATTTGATGCAACTCAAGATCATAAGGAGCTACTAATGTCATGATAATTCTAAAGTAATCTTTCTTAGAAACAGGTGAAAATGTTTCCTTATAATCAATGTCAACTTTCTGAGTAAAACCTTTGGCAACAAGACGGGTCTTGTAACGTTCGATATTGCCATGAGAGTCACGCTTAGTCTTAAAGACCCATTTACACCCAACACTCTTGCATCCTTCTGGCAATTCCACAAGATCTCATACACCATCATGTGCCATTGATTTAAGCTCATCTTTCATAACATCTAACCATTTGTCAGAATTATCACCATTAATGACGTCTGAAAATGAAACTGGGTCAATATCAATACTTAAGTCATTTTTTGACTCTTGTAGATAAACTACGTAATCATTCGAAATAGCAGACTTTCTTTCTCTGTGAGATCTTCTTAATACTATTTCTTGTGATTGTTCTATTATCAGTTCATTGTTAATCTCGAGATCATTAATTTGTTGTTCTTCTTTATTGTTGTGTGATTCTACAACATTTGGAACAACAACTCTTGAAGATGTACTAGTTATTGGAACTTGTACTCTAACTTCCTTAATCTCCATATTTCGTGAAGCTTCACTCCCACTGGCTTCACCATTTTCAATAAATCAAGCATTTTCAGTTTCAACAATTCTTGTACTATGGGTAGGACAGTAAAATATATACCCTTTTGATTTTTCTGGATAACCAATGAAATATTCACTGATTGTTCTTGCATCTAGTTTCTTTTCTTGCGGATTATAAATTCTTACTTCTGCCTGACTACCCCAAACAAGCAGGTGTCTCAAACTAGGTTTCCTATTTTTTCATAACTCAAAATGAGTCTTTTGAACAACTTTACTAGGAACTCTGTTCAACAAATACATGATAGTCTTTAAAGCATACATCCACAATGATACAGGTAAACATGAATTACTTAACATACTCCTAACCATATCAAATCATAGAAGTACGCTTAAACAAACTGAAACAACCATTCCCAAACTTAAAAGAGTATCCAGCAACATCAAACTTAGACAAAGAAACTAAATTTCTAATGATATTAGGTACATAAAAAAGTATCCATAAGGTCTAAGTGATATCCAGTGTCAAGGATTAAACGATAAGTCCCGACAGCTTCCACTGGAACCTTGACTTTATTTCCCATGAAGACGAACTTCTCATTTGGGTTTATGGTTCGGGTTGAAAGAAATCCTTGCATTACATTAGAAACATGAGTCGTACATCCAGAATTAATCCACCAAGTATTATGGGAAACTTTAGTTAAGTTTGATTCAAAACATACGTAAGCACTATGCTCACCTTTCTTTTCAAACCAAGTTTTACGCTTTAAGCAGTCCTTTTAAAAATGTCTAGACTTACCACAGAAATGACATTTGTCATTTTTCTTCTGAATGTTAGTAGAGGACTCGTTAATTTTTAATGGTTCTTTACCATTTTCATGTTTCTTAACAACTTTATTTTTAAATCCTTGATTTTTCATGTAATGAATGGAGTGGCTTCCTAAGTTCTTAAGTCTGGTCTCCTCCTGGACTAACATACTGTGCAATTCATGCACATTCCATTTGTCTTTCATGGTGTTATAATTCATCTGGAACGGACATACTCAGACGGTAACGAGTTCAAAATGAACTGCACAAGAAAATTTTCTTCCACTGCCATTCTAAGAGACTTGAGTCTTGCTGCGATATTTGTCATTTCGATTATGTGTTCATGCATACTACGAGAACCATCAAACTTCATGGTGGTCAACGTACTCATCAATGTCCCAGCGAGGGATTTGTCAGCAGTTTGAGAACGATTTTCCACAAATTTCATAAATTCTTTCACGTCCTTAGTTTTGGAAAAAGCATACTTAATATTGCTTGCAATATTCATTCGCATAAACATAAGACTAAGTCTGTTTGACCTTTTCAAAACTCTATAATGAGTTTTCTCTTTGTTGCTACTAGCATTAGTGATAGCAACCGGTTTTTCAACTTAGAAAGTCAAATCAAAATCCAACTCACCTAAGTGAAATTGGACTTTCTTACTCCAGTCAGAGAATTTAATCTATTAAAGACTGGAACAGACGAAGTAAGCGAATGTAGAAATACATAATAAACAAATACTTCAATTAACACATGCCTAACATTAACGCTTTGAGTCATAAAAACTAAACATAAATACATATTCAAACATAAATAACCATTCTATGCATACTAATGTTCTTCTTTGGGAGATCCACTAATACACAAACATAATTACGCTAATCTTTTTATAACATTAATGATAATTAAAATATGCATCAACTAGAATCACCTAACACCTTTGGGTATATAAATGAAACTAGTGACGCACACAAAATTATCTACTTTCATGTTCATTAATTATAATAACAACTAATCAACCTTTGGGTGATCCTGAAATGCCTTATAATAATGAACTTCAATTAACCCATAAATCATTATTCATAATTTTAGCATTCATACTATGAGTAATTGAAATAAAATCATTAATAATTTGAAATCAAAATAACCTTAAAATTTTGGCCACTTTGGTGACTAACAAAATTTATCATGCTTAATTTCAAATAAATAACATCTTCAATTGCTATTAACCATTCATAGCATTTTTTTTATTTTAATAAATATGTACATTATTCACATAATAAAATATTATGTGCCATAAATAAAATTGAAACTCATAATTTCAATTTTCATCCTAAGATTGATTTTCAATCCAAGACCTTTATTTGCATTTCACGTAAAAGTGAAATTGTCATCCATTCAAAACTTTTATGAGTAATTTAAACACAGTGGAAACAATACAATTCAGTTTGCAAAACAAAATTCATTCATTTATCAATGTTTACATTATAGGTACATCAGTACCCTTAACAAAGCTTTACAGTATGAGTATATTATACAACTCACCTTAACATAAAAATAACTCTTTAATTATCTTTCACCCACGTACAAAAAATAAAAATACATACGTACAAAATAATGTACAAATAATATGGTGAGAAAATAATATAGGGACAAAATAATATAGGGGAAAAATGGCTTCAGTAGTCACAAAATAATATTATAAATAATGAAATATAATATATGAAACATGTGTGTTCAACAGGTGCTCTTTACGCGCAAAGTTTTTGCAGTTTACCATTCTTCCATCATAATTATAACATTTCATCATAATATCTCATCATAATTATAATATACAATAAAACTAATTAATTTCATACATGATTCACTCTAATCCTATCACGTCATTTGTCTTTTCAATTAAAATCAATTACGGTTTCATTCACGCATAGGGGTTATCTTAATTTGGGAATAAATTAGGGTTCATACTAATCTGATAGAGAAATCTCTAAATTCATAATTAGGGTTTATCTTAATTTGGAAAAAACTTAATATTTGGAAAAACTTTCATACAAGGAAAATCATAAATCTAATAATCAGTGCTCTGATACCACATGTAAAACATTATGTAGCTTTCTTACGTTTTTAATTCATTATTAAAAATTACACTACAGGATCTTTAGATTATTGATTTTCACAATATAGATTTTCACAATATAGCATACATCAATACATGAGTCATAATAAGAAGACTAACCTTGATCCATTATTCTTTAATCTTTTCGTTCTCCAATCTTCTTTTCCCAATCTATCTCTTTATCTTTCTTCCTCTTCTCACGCTTTTTTGATGGTTTATCGTGAAAAAACCTTATGACCAGAGACAGAACCCTTATTCCATTTTATTAACCAACGTCCATCAAGTTGGTTACCGTAAATTAATATTTTATTTTATCTTTATTTTATTCTAACTAACATTTGGGTCCATTATTATATTTCACATGAGTCACATAATGGAATGAATTAATTATTGTACATGCTTTAATACCAACTTTATAAAGAGTTTTTAGTGCATATTTTTTCACTGATGTTTATTGTATTTATATATTATAAAAAGAGGAGAGTACAAGAATTAAACAAAATTAAGGTTTCAGCCTCTAACCCTAACCATAAAGTTAGGTATATTCAAAAGAAACAGAAAAATAAATAATTATATTTTTAACAAAAAAATTATATCCTTTTGACATGGAAGGATCTTTGTCTCTTTCTATCGTGAAAGAGTGGTACATGCATCCCTTTGCCAGAAGGGTTGTAAAACTGTCTGATGGTGAATCCAAAGCTAATTGCGGATGGGCAATTTCTACCCTCACGTTTATAAACTTAAAATTAAATATATTAGCACCCCTGAATTTATATTTTTTGCACCCTTAAATTGATATATTGACCTCACAACAAAGTGATAAACCCATGCATTGCTTTAAAAGTGTGAAAATATATTGTTATGCCCTCACTGGCCGAAAGTCTTAGATCCGCCATATGTTATATGTGTAGTTTGTAAGGGTGTAACAACACCTAATTGCACCATCTTTGTGGTATCGTTTGAATACACAATTGGATGCATGACTTCCACCGATGAATATTACGATCAATTACTGGATGAACTTTAAATTTTATTTTCCTAGTAAGACTTATTAACTGATCCTAGTTCCCGCTGAAGCTTACATATTCGATTTCTTTCCTATGAGTTCAATAATATTGTCTTTTTCTGGTTATATTGTTTTTAAACCTTTGATGTTTTATTTCAGGCTAGGCGTCTTCCTTATGTGGCTATGGCCAGTCAAGCTCATGGAGGTAGCTTCTCTAAAGGCTCATGGATTGGGGAAATGAAGCAGGCTTCTGATAAAACTGTTATAATTAGTGAAATTTTGGATCCTAGGACAAAAAATCTTCTATCTATGTCAAGGATTAGTGATTATGTTTTATCAAATGAACTTGTCAGCATGGCTTTGGCCATGGTTGCAGAAGATCGGCAGATAAATGATGTATTGGAGGAGCTCTTTGCGGAGGAGGTACAGTCTTTTGATGAAGTTAAGGGACATATTATCTTACATATTGTGCATACATTATTTCAAGCATGCTGAAAGTCCAGTCAAGTTTGCTTTTTGGCTACGTTATGTAGTTCCTTTGTTATAACAAATTGATAAATTTGCATCCCTTGTAGTTAACTTGAATATCTTGTGGAACCTATAAAATCTTCATTACAATATTTATATGTTCATGGCATGCTTTATAATTTAATGAACTTTCTTTCTGGAATTTTATTAGGGAAATGAGATGCACATAAGGCAAGCAGATCTCTACCTTTGTGAAGGTGAGGAATTGAGTTTTTATGAAATAATGTTACGATCTCGGCAGAGAAGAGAGATTGTGATCGGCTACCGTTTAGCGAATGCTGAGAGGGCAGTCATTAACCCCCCAGCGAAAACTGACAGACGGAAGTGGTCATTGAAGGATGTTTTTGTGGTTATTACTGAAAAGGAATAAGGCATTTAGGACAGGGCAAATGATATCCATGGTGGTTTTGGAGTTATGCAAATCCAATCTAATCCTTAAAAATTGTAAGCATTGGTTAATTTAGTCCTGACTTTTGAAGATCGCCTCTTTAATTTCTTAATCTGCAGAACATCGCTCACTTCGGTACTTTTTTGTGTGAAACTGGTGTTAACTGAAGCAAAAAAAAAATGAGTTACTTTTTTGGAAAATTAGAGACTTTAGGACGGGCATTTTGAAAGTTAGGGACTGAACTGACTTTCAATTCTCTTTCTAAAAATGAGTGGATCGTCATTAGAGCATTGCAAGCTGGGTTATTTATGTAAAGAAACATGCCAATTATGCTAACTAAATGTCTATAAGACATGAATCCTGTGATACTTAATTTCACACGACCAGATTATGTCGTATTTGTATTGTTAAGGTGGATAATAAATAAGCTGGACCTATTTAATGTTTTATTAAATTAGATATAGACAAAAATAATTGAAAACTCTTTTTGAAATTAACTTGACTTGAACAATGTTTCGAACGGGATTGCAAATTGAATTAATAAGGGGATATGGTGGTTGAACTCTATCCATACAGATTTTTAAGGTAACTTTTAATGGAAAGACTAATTATTAAGACTTAAACACAATATTGAAGTTAAACTTAAAAAATTAAGTGGGAAAACCTAGTTGTTTATCATTCCATGTGAAAAACTTGCTTGACTTCATTTGCAATCTCTCATTTCCACTAATTGCAAACAGGTTTTGGCTCCTGAATTCATTACCAGGAGATGTAAAAGAAACGTGTTACCGGTAAGCATCATTGTACATCGGGAACAAATTTTCTGTGTGTTTGTTGTTAACATAAGTTTATTACATAATGGGAGTTGGTTTCCATTTCCATTGTGTACTTGAGTTTTGGTAATCAACAAAATTTTATTTCATAGAGCTTCTTTATTCGATTATATTAATTTGTTATCGAGCTGATACATACAGGTACAGTATGCCACCATGTATGCAAGAAGACTATGAAAGGAGATGTCGATGGAACATGACACCAAAAACTCCTTGAACGCCACCTCCTGCTCTAGCTTGCAAATGCGCGACAAAGAAATAAGTAAGATACACAGTATATTAAGCGAGATTAAAAAGTTCTGGTCTCAACATTTTAAGTTAAAATTAATTTTATGTGAAGTGATAATCAAATATATAAGTCATATTTAAAGAATTGAGAAAGGTAATATATAATTTAAAAAAAAATCTTTCATGAAAATATTTTTTTAAATAAAGTGGTCATCAAATATATAAGTTGTTTTTATTTTAAATCATTTATTCAAATATTTTTATTTAAATAAAATGGTTCAAATTTATTAAGTTTACATTTAAATAAAATACTAAATATATAAATTATCATCACAAAATATTAATAATTTCGATAAAAATAATAATTTTTATATACATGTACACTAAATAACCATCATAGACTTTAATTGAAAAATGTGTATTTAATGTCTTTGTAGATTTGTTGGAAGATTGATATTGATAAACTAAATTCAAAAATGTCTACTTTGTGTTTAGGTTAGAGTTATATTATACTAGAAACTCTTGATATATATTAAAATCAATTTATCTTAACTTCTTAAATTTTTACTCTTGTAATATTTTTTTATCATTTATGAAATTTAATTATTTTGATTTAATTCAAATTAACCTATGACTTGTTAATTTGAGTTGAGTTTGGAAAAACATTTAAGGCAAACTCAACCAAATCATGGATTTAATTGAATGTGAAAGCTATTCATTTTAATCAAGTCATATTTTTTTTAATTATTATCTATTATTAACGAAACTGCAAGCACTTAGCGGAAATGCAAGCATCTTAGTTTTTATGTATCCATATTTTTTTTAATTTTTTTTTATTTTCTTCTTCTAGTCTTTTAATTTTTTTTTTCATATTTTTACTATTTTTAAATATATAAATTATCATAATTATTTTTTCTTTAAATGATAATATTTTTTTCTTTTTAATGATACCAAAAAACATTACAAAAGAATCCGTTAATATATAATTATAAATATAATTTTAATATCTTAAGATAAATGTTATATATATATATATATATATATATATATATATATATATTCATATAAATATTTCTCTTAAAGAAAAAGTAATATGCATGGTAAAATAATTTTATATTATCATCCAATTATCAATAACATTGCTTAATAATTTATCATTTTTATAATGATTATTTTCAAATTTATTCTACCCTATGTTTAAATTATTTTGACTCTAAACATAACTATATAAACTATTTTACATTATTAGTGTAGTGTATTTTTTAAAACTAGAATAATCATTAAACTAATAAGATACATATTTAACCTTCAATCACCAATATTAATAAAAATATTATGATAATTAAATTATAATCCAAAATGTTAACCGTTCTTCAAATTTCAAATCAAGAAGTTTTACATAACAAAACAAAAGATTTGATGGTATTTAAAGCTTTTTTGTTATTTAAGATAATTTAATTATCAAATAAACTTAAATAAAAAATGTGTTATGAACGTAAATATATAAGTATCAGAAAGTATTAAAACACATATTTTTATTAAATAAAGGTAATGAAAACTGAAAATAAATTCCCTCTAATAGGGAAACCTATGAGTATTTTTTGGGTGAAAAAAAATCAAACCTTAAACGGCAATCCAAATCCCTCCCCTTACTCTCAGGAAAAACCTTCAACAGCAGACACAGAGGAAGTGATAGAAGCGAACAAAAACCCTACCCTAACCCATATTTATGTTATTAGGTTCTTCCTCCATTGATCCGTCCGAGAGAGCAAGCCCTCGCTTCGCCTTGCCTTAAAACCTTCCCTGCCCAAGCCCATCCATCCACTTCCCCCCCGTCACAACTCCACTCTTTAGAACAACACTATGGATGATCTGGAGAAAGCGATTCTTATTATGTTTGATGAATCGGGAGTCCTTGACGATGACTTGAAGAAACAGGCAAAAGTTTACTGTAACGGTATTAAGGAGAAGCCATTAGTTTGTAGATTGTGCATTGAAAAATTATGCTTTTCAAATCTTGTTCAAGTCCAGTTTTGGTGCCTACAGACCTTACATGAAGTCATTCGAACCCGGTATTTGACAATGACCCCCGACGAGAGGCACATGATCAGGGGTTCCGTCTTTTCAATTGTGTGCCTCGAAGACAAGAACCTCACAAGGGTTTTGGAAGGCCCTGCCTTTATAAAGAACAAGCTTGCACAGGTTTTGATAACTTTGATTTACTTCGAGTACCCTTTGGTTTGGTCCTCCGTCTTTATTGATTTTTTTCCACATTTGAGCAAAGGAAACGTGGTCATAGACATGTTCTGTAGAGTTTTGAATGCCCTAGATGATGAATTAATTAGTTTGGACTACCCTAGAACCCCTGAAGAGTTGACTGTTGCGAGCCGGGTTAAAGATGCAATGAGACAGCAGTGTGTCTCTCAGATAGTCAGGGCCTGGTATGACATTGTTTCTATGTACCGGAATTCTGATCAAGAGCTATGCACTTGTGTGTTAGATTCCATGAGGAGATATATTGCTTGGATAGACATCGGGTTGATAGTCAATGATGCTTTCATCCCTTTGTTGTTTGATTTGATTTTGGTTGGTCCTCTGTCTGATCAGCTTCGTGGTGCGGTAGTCAGATGCTTGTTGGCAGTTGTTGCTAAGCGAATGGAGCCCCAGTCCAAATTGTCATTGTTGCAAAGCCTTCATATTACTCGTGTATTAAGGTTAGTGGCTGAGGATGGGGATGCCGAGCTGGTCTCTGATATAGCTGCATTGCTTACTGGGTATGCTGTAGAGGCCTTGGATTGCTTCAAACGCATAAATTCTGAGGATGCCAAAGGAATCTCTATGGAGCTTTTGAGTGAAGTTTTACCCTCCATTTTCTACGTAATGAAGAATTTTGAGGTAGATGCCACATTCAACATTATTCAATTTCTTTCAGGTTATGTTGCCGTTTTGAAGAGCTTTACTCCTTTGCGGGAGAAACAGCTACTTCACCTGGGGCAGATATTGGAAGTTATACTTGTGCTAATCCATTATGACCCAGCATACCGCAATAATCTTGATGTGATGGACAAAATTGGTAAAGAGGAGGAGGATAGGATGGTAGAGTTTAGAAAGGATTTGTTTGTTCTACTTCGCACAGTGGGTCGAGTAGCACCCGATTTAACTCAGTTGTTTATTAGAAATTCATTAGCAAGTGCTGTTTCAAGATCTTCGGATAGCAATGTGGAGGAGGTGGAAGGTGCACTTTCTCTTTTATATGCTCTTGGAGAATCCATAAATGAGGAAGCCATGAGAACTGGGAGTGGATTGTTGAGTGAACTGGTGCTTATGCTTCTGTCGACAAAGTTTCCTTGTCACTCTAACAGGCTCGTTGCCCTTGTTTATTTGGAGACAGTGACAAGATATATTAAGTTTATTCAGGACAATACTCAATATATTCCAATGGTTCTGGCTGCCTTTCTTGATGAAAGAGGCATACATCATTCAAACATCAATGTAAGTCGTAGGGCCAGTTATTTGTTTATGAGGGTTGTAAAATTGCTGAAGATGAAGTTGGTGCCGTTTATAGAGACTATTTTGCAGGTAGAAATTATATAATCTATCCCTCTTATATGTTTTTCTGTTTTTTAAATGTACTCAAAACATTCTACTTTAAAACAAAGTTATATATAAACTATTCCTGACATGCATTTTTTTGTCTGGCCTTGATGTGCATTTGGCAAATTGTATGATTGGTTACTTCCGGCCTCTCTCTTCTCGATTCTTTAAAATGTTAAAATTCAGAGCCTGCAAGACACTGTTGCTCAGTTCACTATTATGAATTTTACGATAGAGGAGCTATCAGGATCAGAAGATGGTAGCCACATTTTTGAGGTATTCTCCCAATGTTTTAGGATTAAGGATATTTCTGTGAATTTTAATGTTATTTTTTTGCTCTTATGTTCATTGATTCACTTTCACAGGCAATTGGTTTATTGATTGGAACAGAAGATGTCCAGCCTGAAAAACAATCTGATTATCTATCTTCTTTGCTCAGTCCTCTTTGTCAGCAGGTTATTTTTTACTTAAAAATGCAAGTTACTTTCTAATCCATAAAATAATAACAAAAGATAGCAAGATTATTATGGTTGGTATTGGGTGCATGTAATTTCATTTGCTCATTTAATACAGGTTGAGGCATTGCTAATAAATGCCAAGTTATTGAATGTTGAGGAAGCTAATGCCAAAATTGTTGTAATCCAGCAAATTATCATGGCAATTAATTCTCTCAGTAAGGTGCTTTTTCTAATTTAGACTTCTACATTTACCCACCTTTTATATATTCTTTTATAAAATCCTCAAAACTCACAACCAATTAATGATAAAAAATATTTATATTTTGTTTGTTTTTCTTGATTTGAAATTTAAGGATAGTTTTGTGGGAAAATACATCAACTGTGTTGTTTTCCCTCCATTCTTACTATTTTTTGCATGATCTAGGGCTTTAGCGAGCGTCTTGTAACTGCTAGTCGCCCTGCAATTGGTCTCATGTTTAAGCAGGTTAGTATTTTCAAAATTCTTTTGCTATATAATGTATACAATCCATCTTTGCAGAATGCTTTGTGTGATTGATAATGATTTGTAGTATAGCCTATGTCTATTTTTTTGAATTTGCTCTATGGTTTCTTGATCTTTAATTTTGCTAAATCTTGTCATTTTGTCTTCTATGTAGACACTGGATGTACTTCTTCAAGTTCTTGTTATATTTCCAAAGGTAGAACCTCTGCGAAACAAGGTATGAATTAGATTTATTGATTAAAAAATTGTTTGTTTAAAAATGGTCTGTCAATTTCATGTAATATCCATATATGGTATGTAGGTCACATCTTTTATACATCGCATGGTGGATACACTAGGAGCATCTGTCTTTCCTTACCTTCCAAAGGCAATGGAGCAGTTGCTTGAAGAAATTGAAGTACATATTATCTCTAATTTC